AGGGGAGAGATAGACCTCTTCCTGTCTTTTTCTTTGAATGACCTGGGGGCTCTCAGCCCCTCAGTGACTACAGTGCGCCTGTTATTAAGGGCAGGAAGCTCTTCTCCTGGTTTGTCAACACACTTCCATGCAATAAAGGGATGATCGCAATATTGTGGTCCAGACAGCAGCAGATTTCACATCAAACAGCCTAAAAGTGAATAAACTCACTTCTGTTTCCATGTATATACCTACCTGTAAATACACGGATATCTTATATATGTAATACTGCACAAGACATCAGGGACTTGGATGGAAAGTCACATATAATAATTGGCTTCTCTATAATTCACGCTCCTTATCTGAGTGACTGCGTTGGTCCGGCGACGGACTGCTGTCTAACGTGCATCCTGCCTTGTCCCCATTGCCTGCTAGGATAGGCTCTGTCTCACCATAACTTTGTTATCAGTCTTTAAACCCCAAGCCTGTTTGTAACTAACATACAATGTTTAATGGTTAGAATGCAATGAAATGAATCAAGATACTCAGAACTACAGTGTAGCAAACTCATTAAGATCCTCTGACTGAAAGTGGATACCTTTGCTTAACTGCACATAGTATAGAATCACGACTTTCAAAATCCTCTTTAGAGCATGACACAAGCTCAGTTTCTTTTTAATTAACACCGGGGAGACTGACCTCGAGGTGACATTGAGGGATTAAATCCATTGCCACTGGCAAAAGACAGATAAAATCCGAAGTTATTGTTCTGCTACCAGGAGATTCCTATGCTCCATATTTCAAACTACACAAACACTAAGTGCTGCAGTTCCAGCACATGCTCAGTCTTTGCACTATAATAGGAAAAAGCGTGATCGCTTTTCTCTGCTCCACTGAATGCATAATTGGAATAACATGAAGCAGTCAGTTAATACGGTTGTGCTTTAGCCCGTTGCTTACAGAAGAAGATTAATATTTCTGGCTGGTGTGATTCAGGGTGTTGCTGTCAAGCAGTATTTGCTGCTTGAAAACCGTAATACCCTTTGGCCTTTGAAGCCTGCTGGATCGCAGCACGACGTATTGTTCTTGATGAGCTGCAGCTCTCGTTGCACAAGATTTCGGCAAAGAATTCCCTCCAGGAAGGCCCCAGGACGTGCACTATTCATGTAGAACAAACGCGTGGTTTTTAAAACGAGGCTGTTGATTAGCCCTGCACTGCATCAGCTTAACTGCTCGGGACTGAAGGAAATGTTTGTTTTTAAGCATCATGATAAAGCAGAGTTTTGCGCTCATTCTCAGCCTGGGAGGAGGCAGAGCCTGGAGACAGAGAACAGAGCCAGCGAGCTTTCAATTAGTAGCAGATCAAAGTTGCAACTAACTCATTCTATTCAGATCTACAGTGTGGATGAGATTTGCAAATAAAAGCTACAGTACGCACTACATCGAAAAAGAACAGCATTGTTTTCAGCATATTTTCTATACAGTGAATTCCATTTGTTGTTTTAACTCTAATTTTGGATTCATCTTCCGGTGGTGTCAATAAATATCTATACAGCTATTTTAAATATATACTGTAGGTATTACAAGTTTTTTAGTTACTGCATCCAATAATAAAGCAACTGAGAGACTGTGAAATAATCCAGTAATTTTGGCAGGGGGAGGGTGTATCTTACCCATGGAGAGACAACATCAGCACAGAAACTGTAAAAAATGGAAAAGTGCCTTCATAACTAATGGTTTGTTTGGGCAAAGAAATGACTAAGTGCAAGATAAGAGGTTTCTGCTCAAACTCAATTTATGCTGCTTTATCTGTTTATAAACAGCATGCTCGGAAACTCACCCAGTCTCATAACATTCGCAGATTCAGGCCTCACGTTTTGGCACATG